CTGTAAAAAAGAAATTGCGTCTTTGTGTTACATGCCGCCGCCACAAACCTATCATGAATAATCAGTTAATGGGTGACTTACCTGCTTCTCGAACAACACCATCGCGGCCCTTCTATCACACTGGGGTCGTCTTAACTGGATTCGTGGTTGTAAAATCTAGCAAGGGACGAGGAATCAAAAGTTCGAAAGGCTATATCGTAGTTTTTGTATGCATGGTCACCAAGGCTGTGCATCTAGAACTAGTGTCAGACTTAACAGAATGGCAGCAAGGCGAGGAGCCCCACGTCATCTGTATAGTGACAATGGGACAAATTTTGTGGGTGCTAGCAGAATACTCAAGCAGGAATACTTAGATTTGCAGACCACGTTAGACGATGAGTTCTTTACAGCTATCACAGAAATGGATATTGAATGGCATTTCAATGCGCCATCATGGCCGAGCGCAGGGGGCCTCTAGGAGGCCGTCGTCAAAAGTTTAAAACATCACATGAAAAGGGTTATTGGGGAACAAAAACTGACATTTGAGGAGTATTCGACATTGTTGGCTCAAGTCGAAGCTTGCTTAAATTCACGACCCTTATGTGCTCTAACTTAAGATTATTTAACCCCTTCTCATTTCCTAGCTAGTGGACCCACGTTAACTATCATAGAGACTGAGAAAGATCAGCGAACAAGATGGCAATTAACACAGAAAATATTTGAAGATATTTGGCGAAGATGGCAAAATGAATATTTGGGTCAAATCTCAGCTCGCAGCAAATGGTGCGAAACCAAAGACAATGTCAAGATTGATGATATTGTAATAATACATGATGCAAACTTACCATCAGGTAAATGGGCCTTAGGGCGGATTGTAACGCTACACCCTGGAAAAGATGGATATGTGCGTGTCGTTACTCTCAAAACCAAGAACGGTTTAGTAAAGCGGCCCATAAACAAAATATCTCTCCTACCAACTAGTATAGACGACAAACCTTCAAAAAGTAGTAACAAACCAAAGTCAATCATTAGTAGTGCTACATTGACGAAAAATCAGCTTCAAGGAGCTAACACTTGTAATCGAAAAAGTTTCTTACTATTAATATTTATATGGTTTATTTTAATAACTGCCACACCTGCTTTCGCTACACATCAGATATCAAGCCTCGATAATAATAAGGGATTTTATTTTGACAAAATTGGTAACATGCGCTTGGAACAAGATCAGTGGAAATTAATAATTTATTATGATATGACTCCGTATTGGCAAGCCACAGATTTATTAAGTAAATATATAAAACACCTTGACGGTTTATGTTACAATCAAAACAATATAATGATAGCGCAATGTGACGTGATTCTTCTCCAATTACATCATGGGCTCATCGAGCTCGAGCACTACAATGGAATTATTCTGCTCGGACAGGAACTCACACAGCGCTCCGCGCGCACGCGACTACGCCGAGGTCTTATCAATGGGGTTGGCGCTATTGCTAATTCACTATTTGGCGCACTCGATCAAAACTTCGCGGAACAGTATGAGAGAGATATACTAACAATCAGGGACAGTCAGAAACATTTAGCACTGTTGTGGAGAAACCAAACATCAATCGTAGAATCAGAATTTAATTTAATTAAAAGAGTGGACATTACAATAGATAAGCAGCATAAAAGTTTTAATCAGCATCTCAACGCTTTGGAAGTCTAAATCAATGAACAAAAGGTCGCACTTCAAAAAGGAATCAAGGCCAATGATTTTACCCTTACAGCAGTTATTGCAAAAGGTGTATTATCAACGCTAAAAACTATTCAGGAGACGTTAGTCACTTCTATTACTGACATCTACCTCGGAAAATTCAATTTCCACCTCCTTACCCCTGATCAATTAAGGAGTGAATTAAATATCATAACTGGGCTGTTATCAAAAGACCTTACTCTGCCCTTGAATCATATTCAGTCCGATCTTACTAAGATGTATCACTTATTAACCGTAAAAGCGGGAGCCCTGAAGAATTTTATTATCTTCGAAGTAAACATACCTTTAGTAACTAGAGACAACTATGATATTTATAAGTGAATACCCATCCCACTTAAAGTCAATAACAGTATGATTCAGTTAATACCTATATCAAGTTACGTAACAATCAATATACGAAAGGATTCGTTTATACCTATGTTTGAAGAAGACAGACGAGAATGCATAAAGTACGATAAAGATACATACATATGTCCACTAAAACAACCCGTGTATCAGATGAGATCAGATGAAAGTTTGTTCATTAAAAATAAATTATCCGATCAATGTGAGACCACGAATTCAATGTGTCGTAATATCTGGATGGATTTAAATAATATAAATACTTATTCATTTTTTTGTTGTGGTCAATGCACTGTCCGCGTCATATGCGAGACTCAAGTTACCGCCGAACAACTTATTATGGCTGGAATAATCACACTTAGCAACGATTGCATAACCAAAGGCAATAGCTTCACAGTATATCCGCATAAGAAATTTTCAAATACAATTGAGCAAAAGGCCGATATCATAATATTTGATATTGCACCTATCAATAATATCATGAATATAACTATCCATACGCCTTCCATAGTGACTTCAGGCAATGTCACTAATCCTGATGACCTTGAGGATAATAATCGGCAGATTCAAGATTTAAAAACCGTCGGTTCCGAAGGTGTTCTGGCGGATCGAGTGTCTTATCATGACGTGCACCATTACGTTTCTATTTACGTAGTGGGTCTCGGCAGCGCCATAACTATGGCAGTGGTTATCTTTCGACGCCGCTGGCGCCGCCGACCAGGGCGGGCGAGGGAAGAGCCCCAGCCCCATGGAGCACAGGCCAGCACCCCCGCTTGCCCCCCCTCAAGAAACTGTTGAGTGTGTTAGTGATAGTGTGGTTCAGTGCGCGAATCAGTGTCGTAATGTAAATATTGAAATGAGCAATTTAAAAGTGAATGAAAGTTTAGATAAAAGAGTGAATGTTAAACCGAGTTGATCCGCTCCGCGCGTTGTTGACTGTGCTTCGTCACCTATTTTTCATAGAGAATTTAGTTCACTGTAATTAATTTTAGGGAACATTGTTTTATCAATTTGTTATTATTTTTAAGAAAATGTTGTTTTATCACCTTATAATCGCGTCACTCACTTACATTAAACCACTATCATCTCTCTCCCTATCTTTGGCCCGGGAGCATGTACGAGCAAGCGCGTACATTTTGCCCCGTCGGCATTTTACGCCACATGCATTTATTTAGGTTAATTATGAATCAGTTCGTCATCGGTCATTATTCGTACCACGCGTTCTCACAGATATATCAGTTTACTTTCATAATTATCAGTTTGTTATCAGTAATATATCGTTTAAACATATCAAGACTTTCTCTTCTCTCTATATATCATAAAAGGTGTACAAAACCCGTACAATTCTCGAGCAACGACCATAGAAAACAAAGCCTGCGCAGTAGTAATTATACATACAAAAACAAACTACTGCGCAGTTTATTTGTCTGTAGAATTTATTATTTATTTATTTGTTTGCTCAAGAAGTTTGCCGCTACCTATTCCTTGAAGTGGATCATTTGGGCTGAAAGAAACGGCGTCATTTCTCACATCATATGTACTAACACTACAAGATCTAAATGTGCTTTTCTATGTATCTTGCAAACAATTAATGGGAAAGAATTTATTATATTTTATTCAACGAAATACTACGATTAAGTAGGCGGGGCGAAAAAAGCTATCAACACACCGTTTACTGGTCATTATTTAATCTTAAATTGTAAAGGGTAGTTTGGTGGATACCACATAACACAGAAAGTGGTTAGAGGGGTGATCAAAGATAGATAATAGCCATCAAGAATCGAACCAATCAGCGTGCACACACGAGAGCAACGACGCAATCAACCAAGTTTTGGTCAAGGTATGAGCATTTGCTCACACATCACTGTGGCGCGCCTGCCCCGCCCACAAGGCCCTTCTAGTCTCTATCTCTGTTCTGTAGTTGATACCAGTACCAGTTTTTAAACCTGGCGCCCAACGTGGAGCGCTAGTGTACTAACTACGTTATTACACTTATTACTGCAGACAGAACGTTCTTTCCAGTGATCAATTTTATTAAATTGGCATTTATCGTGGTTGTTTGTGAAGTCATTTAACATAAGTTGATACAAGTAATTGTGGCATTTCAATAACACTTGTTTAACGTCACCTAGTTGATAACGATTGTTCTCAGCCTCAAGACGACTTAATTCCGCGGCGGTTTGAGTATGCAACGCACGCAACTCAGCTCTCTTTGAAAGAAAAGTGGCAGCGATAACTTTTAATCTAATTCAAAAGTCAGTTAACGTCTCTAGAGTACAGCAGTTAGACTTGTTTGACGGTATCTGTAAAATAACGTTACCTGTTCCTACTTTAGTACTTCTTAGGCAGCAAGGCAGCGTCAGCCCAAAAAATTAAAACGTGGACTTTTATCTAGTAAATTTTCTTTATTAAATAAATATTTCCAACACTCACACCAATTAGCCTAGCCCCACGCTAAGCACTATAAGGCTAGTGTTATGGGATACTAGGGTAACGGATAGAATACATATACTGTACATATCTTTATATATATAATTCTTCTGTGAGTGTGTATGTCACTGAACTTCTCTTAAACGACTGGACCGATTTTGATGAAAGTTTTTGTGTGTGTTCAAGGGGATCTGAGAATGGTTTAGATTCACTTTTCACCCTTCTACCACCAACCCTTACTTTTTTATGGCGGTACGAAGTTCGCTGGGTCAGCTAGTATAAGTATATTTATATAGAAATACATATTAAACATCCATGACTGGAGTACAAATGCTAGTATTCATCACACAAACATCTGCCCCCACCAGGATTCGAACCCGGGACCTCTCGAGTCGGCGACACCATGAAACCCGGCGTACAAACCACTCGGCCAAGGAGGTCGTCATTCGATTTATAAAACTAGAAGTTGAATTATTAAAATAATTTACGTTACCTGTTGTTGATATCGCCCGTTCTCAGCCTCGAGACGGCTTATTTCCGCGGCGGCTTGAGCTAATAACGCACGCGATTGTTCTGCAGCTACCGTTGCTTGACCTGCATGTTCAGTTGCCAGCTCGCACAACATTCGCTTCTTCTCTACCTATATAATGAGAATGTTCCATGAGTACTATGACTTCTACAAGTACCGTCAGCAACGACGTCCGTATTATCTTTAGTATCGCGCAAATTATATTTTTTTTTTTTCATATAATTACATACATACATTTTTCACAGTTTACGATAACTTGAACAAAAAAAAAACAATTTCTAAAAACAATTCAGTCCCACTGCACCAACTCATTTCGAATGTGTAAAATAAATATTATGACCCTATTCACATCTTACCTCTTCACGAAGCATCTGTATTTGGCTATTTGATTCCTTCTTTAGCATTTCAACATCTTCAATGAGTTCACTCTTTATAGATCCAAGTTCACGATAAGCTTCCTTTTCAACATTTTGTAAGCTTTCAATTAAAGAAACATTATGTTCCATAATGCGATTGTGTTCTTTCGCCAGTGCGGCCTTCGATTTCAATATATTTACAAGAGCATCCTTGTACTCATTGCATTCCAGAACTGTTTTTTTTAATGTGCCTTTGTATGATGCAAGTTCATTTTCCAAAATCTCTTTATCATTTGTTAATGTCTGTACAGTGTTTTCTAAATGTTCAAGCTCACTATCAGATTCCCTCAAACGCATAGTTAACACTTGGACAATATCTCTAGTCACCGATAATGACATTTCAAATCTGCTTTTTTCTTTGGTTGCTTTGTCAACTTCTACAGTTAATTTATTAATTTGATTCTCAAAATCTATAATTTTCTTTTTTGACTCATCTTTTAATTCGTCTATTTGTTTGAGAATATTGAATTTTTCAGATTTTAATGATTCACTTTCATTTTTCAAAATGTTGATTTCTGATTGTAATTTTATATTTTGTTCTTCAGTAACACTAAGACTATATTGAAGATCTTTGGTTTCTTTTTCCAAATACTGAATTTTAGATTGCTGTAGAGACCAGTGATCTTGGATAGCTCTTGCCCGTTCCTCAAATTGAATCTCACATAGCCTAAGCTTTTCATGTGTAGCTTCATTTATTTGATCAAATTTAGCTTTAAATTCTCGTTCTTTGGTATTCAGCTGTTCTTGTAACTCATGAATAACATCATCTTTTTCTTTCAACATCTGGTTTTTGATAGATTCAATTATATCATCATATCTTAATTTCATACTCTCTTGATCAGCTTTATTTTTGCATATAATAGCTTGTTTTTCTTCCTCCAGTTTAGTTTTTATTGTTTCTAATTCTATTTTGTATTCTCGTCTGATACTTTCATTAGCTTCTAATGCTAGTGCATGATGTCCCTTCACCATTTCTAGCCTCTGGCGTGTTTCCTCCAGGCATAATTCAGTTGAAGACAGTTTATCCTGTAAATCTTTACATAAGCTATCCCTTATTGTAATCACCTCTTCAAGAGCTGATAATTCTACTTGCTTGCTGCTAACTTCCTCCTCTAACTTTTCACATTGGTTTTCTAGTTGAGATATAGTATTTTTGAGATTGTTGATATTATCATCAGGTTTGAAAACTTCAGAAATGTTTATACTATTTTCTTTTCCAGGTTTTTCATAGTTTTCATTTAAATTAATTTGTGAAAATTTCTTGTCTAATTCATTGCAAGTGTTTATTGATCTTTGAAGTTCAGCAATCTCAGATTTTAATTCTTCTATTTGTTTCCTATACTCCATTAATGTGTGGTTCTTGTTTCTATAAAGATAATAAAATATCATTTTAATATCTAGATAATTTTAAACTGTGAAAATAAAGTGAAACAACAAAACTATTTCTTCTTTGTTAAATTTCATAACATGTTTGAAATTTATTATACTTCGTAAAAATATTTGTTGATTTGAATTGAATAGGTACTAAGAAAAATTTGAATTGTGAAATGAGATTGAAACTTATAAGACAACTAGCTGTTACCCGCGACTTCGTCCGCGTGGTATAGTATCTTTGGGTAGCATTTTTATTATTTAATAAGAATCATTAGTAGGTATAGTAGGTATATTTAAAAAAAAAAAAAAAATGTTTACAGTAGGTATAAGGTACCTGTATTATGTATTCCATTGAGTGGCAGAAAGTACCTAGGAAAATTTATTGGTCCCTTATGTCCAAGAGACACTTACAGGGGCCAGCGTCACGTTGTGTACAAAAATATTTTAAAATGACCTAATTTAAAACATTTTTGTACACAATGTTTAACACCCAAAACTTCTAAATATCATGTTCATTTGATTTGTTCAAGATTTTGTATACAAAAAGTTTGGCTTCGTAGTTCCCAATCCCATACAACTTTTCACCCCCCCTTATAACCCCTTACAACCCATTTTCGCAATAAAAAGTAGCCTATGTCCTTTCTCAGGGTCTAGACCATCTGTATACCAAATTTCATTCAAATCCGTTCAGTAGTTTTGGCGTGAAACAGTAACAGACAGACAGAGTTACTTTCGCATTTATAATATTAGTCTGGATAGTATATGATGTGTAGCAGAGTAGTTACTGGACAGTAAAAGTAATTTTTTTTCTTAGTTACATGCTCATAGTTGGCTTTCCGATTTGTGTATTTTTTCAAACTTTCATGCCACTCTCCTTCAAGTTTAATTTACAGCAGCCTCATCATTCTTAAAGGTCACATTTATGCGAAAATACTTAAAAATTTGTTCAGCAAATTAGTCCTGATAAAATATAACAGACGGAGTTGCTATTATTATTATAGTACCTATAAATAACAAATAAATCTTTGAGGATGATATTTTAGCACTGCTAATGTAGCGGTGTCTCAAAGGTAGGAGTTGGAGATTAAATTGAATTTTAGGTACCCAAAATATGTATAGGTTTACTTTTTGGATATTGTGTATAAATTTTTGCAGTTCCTGAATCATATTCATGGACGCTTGTAACAGTCTAAACTAAATAGATGAATATGATTATATACTTACTGAATTTCTACCTCTTGAGCTTTTAGAACTTCCTCCTTGCTTTCTTTTCTGATTGGTTTTCCATTGTTAGAACAAGTTTTTTTTGCACTGCTAACAGCTCTGCTATTAGTTAGATTTTTTACTGGTTTTGGCTAAAAATTAACAAAAGCATTATTTTTCCAAATATTTACCTAATGTCCTCATAGTGTTTTCTTTAAATTTCATAATACTTACAGTCACAAAAGAGCGCACACTTTGTGCTGAACTGCTGCAATTAGAATTTGTATCCCTCTTAGTTATTATACTTTGAGATCCTGGCACTGAAGTGGATGAGGCAGAAGCTGCTGTTTGTTTAGATGGAATTGATAGTGATTTGGTGCAAGCTTTTTGAACTTTATCTTTATCATGTTTGTTTGTAGATATCACAAGGCTTTTTGGTGGAGCTGGAAATGAAATCTCAGTTGTAAAATCTACAATATGTACTCTTACAATTGCTTATAGATACAAGTTATATTTAAAGAGATTTAATTCAATGAAGAGGCTGCCATCTGCCTGTTTCCTCAGGACTTTTCCTAGTTCAGAGTCTTTGTTGTCCTAGAGAGGTGTCCAATTAAAACCCACTTTGGTCTGTCTCTTTGTGTATAATTTTATTTTTAAGAACAGTATGACTTTATTAGTAATCCAATACTGTATAAATGATGTTTTATCATTAAATATTTTTTGGGTAGAATGCTCAATTTTATAACCAATGTTTGCTGTTTTAAAGTTTCTGTTTAGTCAGAAATTTATTTGATGGCAGCTATAATAAAATTTTATATTAAAACATAACATATAGGTACCTACTGCGGGCATGTTGTTAAAGAACATTGAACTAAGAGAAAGTATTCACCTTATTACTTTGAAGGTTCTTCAAGTTAATTTTAAAATATACACTATATTTTAATGATAAATATATAATTCGACAAAACAAAAGGAACAAAAGAGAGTACTTACGTAGAGGTTCAAATCGTTTAGCTTTTGAAAACATTCTGAATCAGTTATTAATTGTTTCAGATATTCAAACAAAGCTCTGAGATAATAATTAAAACTAAGCTATTATAAATCCAGCACTTCACTAATGCGCGCGAAAACCTTGTTTTGCTTCACTTCATCTGATTGAATGAATTTGAAATAAGAACTGCGAACGACTGACTGTTGGTTGCATAGACTAATATTGTATATAGGGTAGTTGGTTGGGTTGAATTTGAGTTCCCTACCCAGAAAAAGGTGTTTTCTGTTCTGACTTCTTTGTGCTTGTTCAGTGGGTTCAATTCTTTTTGTATTCCGAATGAATAGAATGACCGTTACCTTGACGTTCCGTTTTATGCAAAGCATTCAAAAACATTTATACATTAAAGTAGGGTTGCCAGAATGTCTCTTGTTTCTCTACATGAATCTACTGTTTTGCTTAGAATACGATTTCTTTTTTTAAATTGCGTGTTAAGTTGCGTTTTCCGCCATTAAGATTGTATGTAATAACCTTTATAAAAATACAATAAACATTTTCATCACTGCATTAAAGTGTATTCTAGTTGCCTTTGGTTTCACACACATTTTACGTAAGTACAAATAATTTATTTTTGCAAATGTAAAATGAATACTATACTGAATATTATGAAATCGTATCGATATTCTGTATTTACATTCTTCATCTAGAAATCAGTCTCTATGATCTGGAAATAGGCTCGCAACTAGGGTTACCATATCTCAGGATTTGTCCTGAGATTTCAGGATTTTTGGACTCTTCTCAGGATTGCGGCTGGATTTTGCAAATCTCATGAAATCTCAGGATTTTTTGAATTTCCAATAAAATACAGCTTACGTTTTAAAGATCTCCTTAATAAAAAGTTAAACAAACTAAAAATAATCTTCTATTGGTAATAATTGCACAATTAAAATCAGTACTTTATTATCCAAGTAGGTACCTATTTAGTTTTATCATACTTAATATGTGAAGATACATTTTTAAGTAAGGTTTTCTCTTCAATTATGGATTCATATAATGCCCCACATGTTAAGCTCTTCAAATTATATTGATTTAAAAGTATAAGCAGAGTATAAACGATAATATAACGATTTTTTTAAATTGTTAAGTACGTTTGAGAGAAAATTCTCAAACTGTAAAAAATCTCAGGATTTTTTAATGGAAATCAAGCCTTTTCTCCGGACTTTTGATTTTATCATCTGGTAACCCTACTCGCAACATAATAATAAATAAATATTTCCAAAACACACCAACTAGCCCTAGCCCAATGACCAAGGAACTTATATACTAACTGGAATGCTTACGAAACAATATGGGAAATTTAAAAATGTACATACTCTAACTAGTTATCCATTTTTGTTTCTACTTTCATAAGGGTGAAAATACTCCTAGCGCGACACGACGTAACTGGAATCTGTCCCTCTCTTGCAACTGTTTGGGCACACTACTAGGACGAGACAGATTCCACCAATTCAGCTATGGGGTTGTCCATTAATCACGTAAGGCTCGAAAGGGGGGGGGGGGGGGGGGAAAGGGGTCCATAAAGAATCACGAAATATCACACCGGGGGAGGGGTAGGAATATATCACATGTATTTCCGTGGTCCGAGCATACTTTAGTTTACAATAGTTAGTGGCAGGAGTCCCCTTTTAAGCAAATTAATGCTTGTGCCAGGCGACTCCGCTCCTCCATTACACATCCATTTTTTATGTAAATTTCACAAACTTAAACATTTTTTTTTATTCTATTTAGAACTTAGATATAAGTTTGCCTTTGCATGAATACGTGTATGTATGTATGCATGTATGTTTGAGCTTGAGCATATGTGTGTGTTTAATAAGTCTTTGTGTGCGCATGATTGTTTTTGTGTGAACGTGAGTGTTATAATTTAATAAAGGATGTGAGTTTTAATTGTCTGTGGTATTTTATCTGTTGCAAAAATAATTCTACTTTTTCATAATTCAGGGATTCTAACCAAGTATGTATTAACTTTTTACATTCATTATATGGGAGGGGGTAGATGTCAATTATTTTGTTGATACTATTGTAAATATGAGATTGAAAGACTACTGTGTTGTCTACTTGCAAACTTTGTTTTTGTTTGGGGAACTTTGGCTACGTTATGTTTTCTTCTGCACTCCCTACCACTGGCTACAAATGGCAAATTTCTATGTTTTTTTAATATAATGTGTTTTAAAAATAATTTCCTTACTGAGAGTAACCCGCAATCGACGTAAAGTTGATCAGTAGGGTATCTTACACGTTTAAAACGAATTACTTTTATCAGTGCACGTTCTGAGCGCTCAACCTCAATAAACCGCTTGTGTTTTCGCTGCTCCGCCCCACACAGAAATACAGTATACCAAGAGAGACTGAACCAATGCAACGTAAATTCTACTCAAAAGGTTCTTTGAAGTATTTTTGTCCATTATATCAGATTTGAAACTGCCCGGTACCACATATCTTAGTGTGCGGAATACCCATATCAATTTTTTCACTCTTCCAGCCAATTGCTCAAGATGAGGATACCAAGCAAGCTTCTGATCGATTACAACACCTAGATACTTATAATTAGTAACCTTTGTGATCATTGGACAATTGCAGTTTATGTCTGTTGGGTCACTGCAGTCATGGACCTTGAGGCAGAAACAGTTTGTGGGCTGATTATTGTCATAAATACTAAAACATATATATTTAGTTTTAGATGTATTGAGTGAGAGTAAGTTGCATTTCAGGCAAGTGGATACACGAGCCATAACTATTTCCGCACTGTTTTTTACATCTCCCCAAGAGGTTCCAGAGAAGACGATTGCTGTATCATCCGCGTATGAGAAAATTTTAGCATTCTTGATCCCGAAGTTACACAAGTCATTAATGTATATTAAAAATAAAGTAGGGCCCAATACGCTTCCTTGAGGAACTCCGTATGTCACTTCAGCATCCTCACTCACGCACTGTCCCAATTTAACCCTTTGTTTCCTGTCTGATATATTTATAGTTTTGAAGCAGTTTTAGTGGGTTGCCCCGTATTCCGATATTTTGCAACTTTTTGATAAGGATGGGAACAGATACGGTGTCAAACGCTTTTTTATATCAAGAAACACTGTCAAACATTTATTCTTTTTATCCATTTTCTCTGTTACAAAAGAGCTAAGGGAAGTTACAGCATCTTCTGTGGATAGACCCAGCTTAAATCCAAATTGGGAGGGAGACAATATATTATATTTATTTAAAAACTTAAGTAGCCGAGTGTTTATTAGTTTTTCCAATATTTTTGATATACTTGGCAGTATAGATATGGGCCTGTAGTTATTGACGTCCTCCCTGTCCCCATCCTTATATATTGGAGTAATAACAGATTGTTTCAACAAAGCAGGGAAGATTCCCTTATCGAAACAAAGATTAGCAAGACGTGTCACAATGGGAACGACATCATTTCTTACAAATTTTAAATAATTAGTTGGCCCAGCCGGGTGCACTGTTAGATCTAAGATTCATTAGGACGCTATCTACTTCATTACAGTCAGTGCCAAGGAGTACAAAAGAATTAACATATGTAGGTACAGAATCATTTATATTGTCAGCCTCATGCTCTGGAACTGGGGAAATCTCTTGAGCAAGATGCTTACCAATATTCGCAAAAAACTCGTTGACGTAATTTGCCGATTCAGCGGGTGAAACTTTAATATTAAGTAATTCCGTGTTCTTAGATTTAGTTTACTTAGAGTATGTAATTTTTTTTTATATTAGACCAGAGTAATTTATTATCTGATACCGATTTGCACAGAAGTTCCCTTTCATATTTTGTTTTCAACTTTTTTATCAAACTATTACAATAATTTCTATGTCTAATGTAAGTAATTTTTAATATATTATTATGTGGATCTTTTTTTAAGTTTTTTTGCAATTTATTTCTATTATTTATACATCTAAGAATACCGGAGGTAATCCAAGGTTTTATGATTCGTTTGCTTTTTGGAATTTTGACAACGAGAGTATTATTCTTAATAGATTCAGCAAGTTTTTTTATTAAACAATCAGTTAATGCATTTGGATCATCGCAGTATTGTAAGTCACTTAATTTTTTCTGCAAGTAGTTTCGAGCTTTTTCATAGTCTATTTTAGTTTTAGTCTTATTAGATATATATTTGTGTTTAATTTTTGACAAACATAGAAATGTGGTAAAATGGTCTGTTGTAGTAGTATGCAGTATTGCAATGGTTGCTGTAACTTTTTTCTATTCATTTTTAACATAAAGTGATCCAAACATGCCTGTTCTCTAGTAGGTAACGTGTGCCCAGGGAGTATACCAAATTCAGAAAGCATATTTAAATAATTTACCCTATTTCTATGTTCGTAAGAAAGGTCTACATTTCTTGTTCTAAGATTAATGTTTATGTCTCCAGCTATTATAACGTTCCTATCCTTAGTAATAGCCTCAAGATGCAAGCTTAGAGAATTCAAAAAGCTTTCTGTGTTTTTGTTTGATGGGGAGCGATAGATGCACAAAATTATATTGTTGAGTAATTCTATTGGTACACAAGAAGCTTCTGCTAGATTTATTTCCTTTACTTAAGTTTTTAAAGAAGATTTAATGTAAACTGTAACCCCATCGTTTCGATTAATCTGTTTACTGGTACTAAAGGAATCATAGTTTTCTAGTTGCGGAATAGGTTTATTGCTATCAAGTCTGCATTCTGTAAATATTAATACGTCCAAGTCAAACTTGAGGTTTGATAAAGTTATTAAAAAGTCGTCGAAGTTACAATAGATGCTTCTTATATTTTGCGAGATAATAGTAAGATCATTTTGTTTCACTTGTATTCGATTTTTAAGATCTACAGTATTACATTCAAAGGTTCGTGCTATTTCAAACTTGTCTATTTCTTCTATAGTTTGTTAAATCTCACCCATTTATAAAATAAATATACGCATGAATTTCTTTAGACTTAAACATGTTTATATACTATAGAGAAACTTTGTGATGATATGTGAGAAGCATATATAGAATCTTTTTCATGTTTTTCCTATCACTGTTAATTACGTTATTTTTTGTATTTATGACAAAAACTGTGTGTGTTGTTTGTTGTGTAGAAGTAAATATGTCGATATGTAAGTGTAAATATAAAAAGCAAGCACATAAATAAATAAAAG